TTTTGGGGTTCTGATTTCGGGTTCTGAGTTTGGGTTCTGTTTTCGGGTTCTGATTTTGGGGTGTTGATTTTGGGTTCTGATTTCGGGTTCTGATTTTGGGTTCTGATTTTGGGGTTCTGAATTTGGGTTCTGATTTTGGGGTCTGATTTGGGGTTTTGATTTCGGGTTCTGATTTTGGGGTTCTGATTTCGGGTTCTGATTTTGGGTTCTGATTTTGGGGTTCTGAATTTGGGTTCTGATTTTGGGGTCTGATTTGGGGTTTTGATTTCGGGGTTCTGATTTCGGGTTCTGATTTCGGGTTCTGATTTTGGGTTCTGATTTTGGGTTCTGATTTCGGGTTCTGATTTTGGGGTTCTGATTTTGGGTTCTGATTTTGGGTTCTGATTTGGGTCTTGGTGCTGGGTGCCAATTTTGGGGTTCTGGTTTTGGGTGCCAATTTTGGGGTGCTGCTTTTGGGCGCCAGTTTTGGGTCCCAGCTTTGGGTGCTGGGTGCTAATTTTGGGTGCTAATTGATTTTGGGTGCTCATTTGGGGTTCTGGGTGCTGATTAATTTTGGGCGCTGATTTTGGGGTACTAATTGATTTCGGGTTCTGATTTGGGGTTCTGAACGCTAATTTTGGTATTTTGGGGTGCTTCTCTTTGGTGCTGGGCACTAATTAATTTGGGTTGCTAATTTTGGGTGCTAATTAATTTCGGGTGCCGATTTTGGGGTGCTGGGTGCTAATTAGGGGCGCTAATTAACTTCGGGGTGCTGATTTCGGGTGCCAATTCATTTCGGGTGCTAATTGGGGGATGCTCATGAACTAATTGGGGTGCTCATGAACTAATTGGGTTGCTAATTAACTAGCTGGGGTGCTAATGAACTAATTGGGGTGCTAATGAACTAATTGGGGTGCTAATTACCGCATTCCGGTGGCGGGGCTGCTCCCCCCTTCCCCTCCCCCCCCCCTTTTTTGGGGGGCCCAGCCCAGGAGGAGGGGCCGGATGAGGCCACGCCCCCGCGCGGCTGCAGCCAATCAGAGCCCGAGCTGCGGGAAGGAGGCGGAGCCAGCGCCGAGGGTAACCGGCCCCTCCCCCACCCCAAAAAAAAACCCCGAAAGGGCCCCAAAAACCCAAAAAGGGACAGCAAAAACCAAAAAAGGGCCCTAAAAACCAAAAAAGGGCCCCAAAACCAAAAAATGGCCACCAAAACCAGAAAAATGGCCCCAAAAAAACCCCAAAAATGGCCCCAAAAACCCAAAAAGGCCCCCAAAAAACCCAAAAGGGCCACCAAAAATCAGAAATGGCCACCAAAAAAAACACAAAAAGGGTCCCAAAAACCCCACCAGGAGACACCAAATCCCCCCCCTGGGGCCACCAAAAATCCTCTGGGGCCACCAAATCCCCCTTTGGGGCCACCAAAAACTGCAGGAGGGCCAGCAGAGCCCCCCGGGCCACCAGGAGCCCCCGGTGGCCGCTGAGGTCCCCTGTCCCCTGCAGGGAATTTCTTCTACCTGAGCCTCCCCACGGGACCCCCCCGGCCGGGAGGGGACGTCGGGGACAGCCCTGGGGACAGCGGGGACCCCCCCCGGGCCCCCCCCGGGGACACGGAGCTGATCCTGGGGACCCTGGAGGAGCTGCGGGGGAAAGTGCTGAGCCTCAGGGTGAGGGGACATTGGGGACACTGGGGACACTGGGGACATCACTGGGAAACTGCTGAGTCTCAGGGGGCGGGGACACTGGGGACATTGGGGACACTGGGGACACTGGGGACATCACTGGGAAACTGCTGAGTCTCAGGGGGCGGGGACACTGGGGACATTGGGGACACTGGGGACACTGGGGACATCACTGGGAAACTGCTGAGTCTCAGGGGGCGGGGACACTGGGGACATTGGGGACACTGGGGACACTGGGGACATCACTGGGGACACTGCTGAGCCTCAGGGTGAGGGGACACTGGGGACACCAGTGGGGACACTGGGGACATCACTGGGAAACTGCTGAGTCTCAGGGTGCGGGGACACTGGGGACATTGGGGACACTGGGGACATTGGGGACATCACTGGGGACACTGCTGAGCCTCAGGGTGAGACTGGGGACACTGGGGACATCACTGGGACATTGGGGACACTGCTGAGCCTCAGGGTGAGGGGACACTGGGGACACCACTGGGGACACTGGGGTCATCACTGGGACACTGGGGACACTGCTGAGCCTCAGGGTGCGGGGACACTGGGGACAGTAACGGGGACAGGCTGACATCACTGGGGACATGGTGGGGACATCAAGGGGGTCCTGGAGTGGGGACATTGGGGGATGGGGGGGACACTGGGGTGTCCCCGGGGCTGGCCCAGCCCTGTCCCCAGCTGTCCCCAGCTGTCCCCAGCTGTCCCCAGCTGTCCCTGTCCCCCCAGGCCATGGAAGCCGCTCACCGGCAGCTGCTGCGCTCGCTGGGGGGGGGCGACGCCGCCGTCCCCAGCTGTGTCCCCAGTGTCCCCAGCTGTGTCCCCAGTGTCCCCAGCTGTGTCCCCAGTGTCCCCAGCGCCGTCCCCGGGCGGGCCCCGCCGCCCCCCAGCCCCCAGAGCTCGCCCCACGCCCCGCGGGGACACGGTGGTGGCACTGCCACCCGCGCTGGCACCGCCCCCCACGGCACAGGTGAGAGCCCCTGGGGCACCCGGTGTCCCCTGCATGTCCCCGCCGTGTCCCCTGCCTGTCCCCTCCGTGTCCCCTGCGTGTCCCCTCCGTGTCCCCTGCATGTCCCCTCTGTGTCCCCTCCGTGTCCCCTCTATGTCCCCTCCGTGTCCCCTGCGTGTCCCCTCTGTGTCCCCTCCAGGTCCCCTGCGTGTCCCCTCCATGTCCCCTCTGTGTCCCCTCCGTGTCCCCTCTATGTCCCCTGCATGTCCCCTCCGTGTGCCCTGCGTGTGCCCTTTCCCACACCACCACTATCCCCCCATTATCCCCCCATTAATTTCCCATTATTTCCCCCATTATTCATTTCCCATTTTCCCCCTTATTTTCCCATTATTAATCTCCCATTTCCCCCATTATTTCCCCATTTTCCCCCTTTCCTTCCAGGCTCCGACGCCCCCGCCCACCTTTAACCCGGAGGGGGGGGATGGGCTGGAATTTCCCTCCCCTCCCCCAGACCCCCCGGAAGATTTTCCAGGGAATTCCGGCCGGGAATTCCCCCCGGATGGCCGGACAGACGGACAAATGCACTTTGTTGGGAATTCCCCCTTTTCCCCCCCAAAAAAAACCCCTATAAATATGTACGTACGCCCCTCCCCCACGCTGTAAATACCCCCGGTGTCCCCTCCCCCCTCCCGGTGACAATCGGGGGTGACACGGTGACAATCGGGGGGGGGCACCCCCAAAATCCCGGGATTTCCCCCCAAAACCCAGGTTTTCCCCCCAAATCCCGGGGTTCCATATAAATATTATAAATATCAGAGCCCGGGGGGCTGAAGCTGGGAAGAATTCCCCACTTTTGGACTCGTTTTTTGTGGGATTTGGGGGTTTTTTCAATGGGGTTTGGGGTTTTTAACGGGATTTGGGGTTTTTTATAAGAAGATTTGGGGTTTTTATAAGAAGATTTGGGGGTTTTTTAAGAAGATTTGGGGTTTTTTATAAGATTTGGGGTTTTTTTATAAGAAGATTTGGGGTTTTTTATAAGAAGATTTGGGGGTTTTATAAGATTTGGGGTTTTTTTATAAGAAGATTTGGAGGTTTTTATAAGAAGATTTGGGGTTTTTTTATAAGATTTGGGGGGTTCTTTTTCCCTGGGATGGGAATTTGGGATTTGGGGGCCCTGGAGGTGACGGGAGGGGTTTGGGAATGGGGACGGGATTTGGGGATTTGGGAATTCTGGGATCCAGCCCCGCGGTGTCCCCAGGCGCCCCTGGGGGGTGGCAGTGTCCCCAGGGTGTGACCCTGTCCCCAGGGGTGACACGCCCAGCCTGGCGACAATGCTCCGGTTTATTTACAAGCTGGCAGGGGGTGGTGGCACCGTCCCTGTCCCTGTCACTGTCCCCAGTGGCTCCCAGCTGCCCCGGGGGTGGCCCTGCGGCCCCGAAGGGGGACAGGGAGGGGACACCAGGACACCTCCCCGAGGTCCCCGTGTCCCCTCGGGGTCCAGGGCCGCGAGGAGCGGTGGCAGCTCCTGGTGGCACCTCTGGTGGCACCTCTGGTGTCCTTGGTGAGGTCAGCTCTGCTGGCACATCCCGGTGTCACCTCCCGGGTCACGTCCCAGCTGTCCTCAGTGTCACATCCTGGGTGTCCCCAGGCTCGGCTTCTCGGGGTCACAAGGTGAAGATCTCGTCCTTGGTGTCCCCAATGTCCCCAATGTCACAAGGTGAAGATCTCATCCTCGCTGTCCCCAGTGTCCCCACTGTCACAAGGTGAAGATGTCGTCCTTGGTGTCCCCAGTGTCCCCAATGTCACAAGGTGAAGATCTTGTCCTTGCTGTCCCCAATGTCCCCAATGTCACAAGGTGAAGATCTCATCCTCGCTGTCCCCAGTGTCCCCACTGTCACAAGGTGAAGATCTCGTCCCCGCTGTCCCCAGTGTCCCCAGTGTCCCCAATGTCACAAGGTGAAGATCTCGTCCCCGCTGTCCCCAGTGTCACAAGGTGAAGATCTCATCCTTGGTGTCCCCAGTGTCCCCAATGTCACAAGGTGAAGATCTCGTCCCCGCTGTCCCCAGTGTCCCCAATGTCCCCAGTGTCACAAGGTGAAGATCTCGTCCTCGCTGTCCCCAGTGTCCCCAGTGTCACAAGGTGAAGATCTCGTCCCTGCTGTCCCCAGTGTCCCCACTGTCACAAGGTGAAGATGTCGTCCTTGGTGTCCCCAGTGTCCCCAATGTCACAAGGTGAAGATCTCGTCCTCGCTGTCCCCA